CCATACCCTAGAGAGCTTTATGGATTTGGTGGAAGCGTGATGGCATAACCCACAACAGGCACAAATTGCCACTGATGGGTTGACCCGGCTTGATACAAAGTAGTACAAGTCCGTGCGCGAGCTCACCTCTGTCGTCGAGTGCCTGATTGTCGTCCCTGGGGTACGTTATGATCAGCAGGCCTTACTGACCATGTTCTTGAGATGTCTTCCCACAGACATCAATAACTTATTACCCAGCAAGGCTCGGCTAGAGTATCACACGTTTGAGACCTTTAGCAAGAAGGCTCTAGATTTGGAAGTCACACTAGGAGGTGCTCAACAACTCCCTACAGACGGAAGTAAGAAGAAGAGTCCACAAGAGTGGAAGAAGAAGGGAAGCCGATTGATGATGGTTGATGCCGATGGAACTCCAACCGAGATCGAAGACTTTTCATTCTTAAAGGACAGTTCAGAGTTAGACGACGAGGATAGTGCTGAGGGTAGCAACCTCGCTGCATTGGTAAAGGTTAAGGCAGGTGGTCGCGGCAAGGGCGGTCAACAGAGGAGTCAGGGGCAAACCCAAAACCCGAACAAAATAGCGGCTTGGGTTAGAGCGGGTTTGGATCAAGATGTGTGGCGGGACCGTTATATGCGGGGTGCTTGCATTAACTGCGGCGAGTATGGCCATCAACAATTTAAGTGCAAGAACACAAAGGTTTCGAGGAAGATACCGCCCAAAGGTGGGATTCCTTCTTCTCAAAGTGGGGCTTCTACGAGTTCCAACTCGGGAAACACATAGGGTCAGTAGAAGTTGTAGCTGCTTCTACTCGTGTTGAAGCGGGTGAACTTTGCGTAGTTTATCTTTAGGTGAGTGCCATGACACAACAAGGTTAATTTTGGCTACAAAACGGCTAGTGCTAACTTGGTACAACGATTCTGGCGGCCTAAAATGCTTGACGATGCGAAGACATATGTGCATACTTACCAAGTCTGTCAGCGGGAAAAGTCGTTGACTCAAGCCCCACTTGGGTTATGAAAGCCCCTACCCATTCCTGCCGGTCCGGGACACAGTGTTTCCATGGACTTCATGGATACCCTCATGACCAGCAAGAGTGGCAAGAGGCATATCTTCGTCATAGCTGATAGCTTCACTAAGTATGCTAGATTAATTGCCATGACAGAGACTGCCAGGACTGAGCACGTCATCAAGTTATTCATGGATAACTGGGTGCATGATTTTGGACTGCCAAAGACAATTGTTAGTGATAGAGATGTCCGGTTCACCAGCGAGATGTGGAAAAAGGCCGATGAACATATGGGCAGCCAACTTCAAATGACTTATGGGAATCATCCTGAAGCCAAGGGGCAGGCTGAACAGATGAACCGCGTGGTGCAGCATCTGCTGAGGCACCATATTAAGCCCAGCCAGGATGACTACGATGTGAAGTTGCCTCTCATCGCCAATTTGTACAATAATGTTGTACATAGGACCACCAGCATCACTCCTAATCAGCTGCATTTGGGGTAGAAACCAAGATCTTCTCTAGACTTCTTCCTGCCTGAAAACCGAACTGTTGCAACTCCTGGAACCATAGAGTTTGGTGTCCAGTATGCGAAACTGTTGCAGCAGACTGTCCAACACATCAAGAAATCTCAGGAAGCAATGATTGCTTTTGAGAACAAGCATCGCCAACAGACTACATTTCAGGTAGGGGAACATGTCTGGGTTAAGGCTAGTGAGTTGGGACAGGAGTTTCGCATCTCTAGGAAACTAATGCCTAAGTATTTTCGTCCCTGGGAAGTCGTAGATATTGTGGGTAGTGAATTGGATGGTCCCTCGTACGTAATTTAAATTCCTGGTCACTTACGCACTTACCTTGTGTTTCACACCTCAAAGCTTGCACCTTTTGCTGAGACACAACAATTCCCATCAAGGAGATCAATGCTGCCCCCAACCATGCATGGTCATGTGGACGTCGACGATATCCTGGAACACAGAGACATGCCTGTACCCAAGCCAGCTGGCCGAGGGAGACCGCCTAAACCGATGAGAGAGTACCGGGTACAGTTCAGGCATCATACAGATGCTAAGGAAGATCGATGGTTCACAAGAGAGGACTTTGTCAAGACAGCTCCTCAGATCGTGGCCGAGTACAAGCGAAGACTGAAGGGGAAGGCACCAGCATGAAGCATCTCGGCGGACTTTCGAAGCTAAGGGGGATGGAATGTGAGGAATGAGCCTTTGCACAACCCTTGTCAGACACGCACATGTTCAGGGCAGAGGACCTCAGCAAGCCCCGTGCCCGCCCTAAGTGAAGGCAGGCCTGAATATTCACTAGAGGCCAAAATTTGACATTTTCCATATGTGGATACTCAGGCAGTTGCAGCACGCCAGTTGGTTGAGTGGAAGCGTGAGCCCCCCTATGCTGCATCGTACAGTTGGGCCCAGTCCTTGGTAGTTGCCCCTGGGCACACACACACGCACAATGCAGGGCAGATACATCACGAATTGGCTACGAGCCTACGAAAAAAAACAACACTGTCGACATACATACCCTGGGTCCTGTGCAAATGCAGCAAACGGGCCAAGTCTGGAAATACTAGCCTTGCCCAACTGTGAAGGGCCCAGGCCCTCAACTGCACAGCTGGGCCTGGGCGCAGGCACTGGGGGCCGACCAGAAGCTACTGGAAGCTTCCCAGCCAGGCCACACGTAGCCGAAGAGAGGCTGCCACTTCCATATAGCGGAGGAGGCAACCAGAGTCAGGCATTCTGGCCCACACAGGCATTGCGTTCACACTGCTGCGTTGCTGCGCGAGAGACTGAGTGCTGCGTTAGCGGCCAGGGCGCGTGCAGGCGCTTGTGAGGTGAGAGGGGCGCTGCTGGGCAGCGGAGCGCAGGCAGCCATAGCCGCGCTGCAGGGCGCTAGGGGGTAAGGGGCGATCGGTGGTCCTCAGGAAGGAGGCGAGTGTGGGTGGTCAGAGTCTGATGAGGGGAGGTGAGATACGTACCTGGTGCGTGAGGGAGGTCGGCTATGGTGTTGACGTCATGTGCATTGGTCTTCAAAGTCGAAGCGAGCCTGTTGCATGATTGCAGATGTGGTAGGATAGGCAAGTGGGGTAGGCTGGGCGCTGGGCGCTGGGCGCCAGACTGAGAGGAGTGACATTGGATACTGTGTTGGTGTGGCCTGAGGGCTTGAGTTCATTGTATTGCTCTTATTTGGATGGAATCTCGGTGCATTTGTGCTCTCTGCTTGTACACGACTACTTTGACATCTTTGTGATTTCGCAACTTGGTTTTCTGTATATCGTTCTCACTGATATAATGTGATATTCCTTGCAATAGTAATAATACTAATAATAATGTTAGTGATTGGTAAGTGTTGGGTAGTGGGGTGCAGTGTGGGGAATCGGTATGAGTTGGGGAGGGCGGATGGGTAAGGTGAAATAGGAAGTATCTGGATGGGGGGAGTTGGATTGATGATAGGTTCCAAATTGCGGGTTTTGTGCGGGCTTTGTGCAGTCTTTGTGTAGGAGTGATGGTTTAGGGGTGGTGAATGCGGGCGTTTAGGGGTGGTGAATGCGGGCCGCGTTGGTTGAAGGGTGGGAGAAACAAATGGTGGGAGAAGACTGGGTAATGTGTCTAGAGCGGGGGTCGGTCTGAGCAATTGGATTGGGGAGGAGGGGGGGAGTGAGATCGGGTGAGGAGAGGAGAGGAAGGTTGGCGGAGTGGGGAGTGGGAGCTAGGGGGTCGAGGGGTAGCCAGTAATGTGGCAAGGAGGTGGGGGCGGGGGGAGATCGGTGGGGAGAAGGAAAGTGAGATGGGGGGGAGATTGACGTAGTAGAGTTTCCAAAAATTTTGCCCGCTCTGATCCGGTCCTCTGATGGAGATCCGTCCTCTACGGACCGTAGTAGATCGCTGGCAGGTGTGTCTGTTTCTACAGTCGTTTCTGATCTAGGTCCGTATGTAGGCTGTGGTCGTGGTCAGATCGTGATTATTTCTCCCGTCGTCATGTCGTTTATCCCGTAGTCAGATCGTGAATATTTCTCCTGTCTTATTCCTTTATCCTTGTCCTACCCCATTCTTGTCTGAATCCTCTTTCTCATTCCGCTTTCCTCTTTTGTATACGTTCCTTTTCCTACCTCCTCCTCGCTCCTTTGCACCTTCGCCCTATGTCTGGATCTGGAAAGCCTCGCCCGAAGGCGTGGCTTGGCACGGCAGCTTGTTTCCGGCCGCCTCTTACTTTCTCACTTTTACCCTTCGAACTCGAAATAGTGCTCACTTGTCCTGCACATTCGAGATGAAAACTCGGCTGCTCTTACATCCGCTCAATGATGATGTGATGCTGTTTCCTTTCCTTAGATGTAACCTCCTGTTTCTTGTTTTCCTTGTAGCTCCTCTCCTTTACTCGCCTTGGGAATAATTGCTCGCGTTTGTTTCCTCACTTTTCTCTCTACTCGCCACCGTTATCCTTTCCTAATCTTAGATGCGTCCCTGCTTCTCTCCTTTTCCTCGCTGCTCGTTCTCTCTGCCCTCTTCCTCTCACCTCCTCCTTCCTTCCTTTCTTGTCTCTTACTGGTTTGAGAGTAGCCATGCCCGAAGGCGTGGCAAGGTGAGACGTGTTCTCTGCTGAGTTCCCGCCTTCTCGCTATCGCGTACGGAAAAGTAATGCTGTCGTCGCAAATTTCCGCTCGGGCCGTGAAAATTCCCCTCGGCGTCATTGCAAAAATTAGCGCAGGAGAGCAGAGCTCGCCGACCGGTTCTAGTTCGATTCGTCCAGTTCCACCCGGGTGGCCCAGAGTAGAGTGGGTCTTACAATGTGACGGACGCTAAAAAAAGGGAAAAAAAAGAGTAAGGGTAGTGACAAGGAAGGGGAACAGACAACGTACAGCTGTAAAGTGATGAGAACATCAACTGGAGGGTGGGTAAGGTGGTAAAATGCCGAGATCACCCAGTTCAGAAAATCGATCACACAGAGGGAGATTGAATCTTTCTAGATAGATATGAGAGGAAATCTAAACACCTGTAGGTCTTGTTCGATGATGTCATTAAGCTGCGGATACCGCACACGTGGGCAGTCCATTCCAGGGAAGAGATCATTGATGAGACCAAGGAAAAGCGGCACATCATCAAAGACAAATTTTGGAAGGTTCATGTCGCGCAGCGCTCGCATGAGTACAAGCTGTTCATCCATTTCTGGCGCTCCGCGCTTGAGAGCACCTGCCATTACCAGGACAGACTTCAATGCTCGCAGCCCGAAATCGTAGTGATATTGCTTTGACAACTGCTCCCTTGACAACTTGTACAGGACTGTCATCTTCTTCGCCAGTAACTTGGCTGTGTCAAAACTGCAAAAAGAGGGTATGGTATTATTGACTTACATTGCAGAGCACAAATCAATCAAGAAAACAACCAGGAAGTCAATCACAGAGTCAATCAGCCAACCAAATGCCCATCCATACATCCTATCTGATCTAATCCCATCCAATTCCAGTCAATCACACCCAATCCCAACCTGTCCCGTCCAATCCCATCCCTTCATCCATTCATTGAGTGATACCAGTCGCATCCATTGTACTCATCCAATCCCATCCACCCTTGTACCCATCCAGTCCCATCCCACCAATCTGCCATCACTCACTATCTTCTCAACCCCACTAATAGCTTTCTACCCAATCCCATTCATCCATCCAAATCGAATCCAATTGAATCCAATCGAATCCAATCTCATAATCCCATCCAATCCAATCACAGCTAATCCTATCCGTCCATCTCCCAGTTGTGCTGACCCCTGATGAATGCTGGCTGGCGACAGGTCGAAACGACACGGTGTAGGGTCGCACCATGACTGGCTGATGACATAGAGTTAGGCAGGTAACCACCGTTTGTCTTTGCACAATGCCAGTTTTTGATGGGTCGATGATTTCTATAGTTAATTTTAATGACTATCAAGGTCACATTTAGGAGTACTCGTCACGTTGACTGACTTGGTTTTCTCACTCTCCACCATCTATGTTGACGTCATCCTTGCTGTTCATTCTGTTGACTCCTATGCTGTCTGGATGCTTCCTTAAATGTGTGTGGGTTGCTTTGAGTGAATTCGGCAAAAAGTGCCTGCTATCTTACCCTCGATAGAAGGATTTTGCAAACTACCATCCATCCAATGCCCATCCCATCCCATCCCATCCCATCCATCCAAGTGGGAGAGTATTGATCCATGCACTTTAGGTCCTGCTATTAGAAATTTGCTGTGAAGCATCAGCCGGAGTCAGGGCTATATAGAGGTTACGGTCTCAACTTTTGAGCCTTGATTCTTTTTCAGTGACAGGAGAAGATCGAGTTTTCGGAGCTGTAGATTTCATGGCTCCGAGTAAATGAGCAATAAAAGTTGCCGGAGTTGTAGTTTCCGTGGCTCCAAGCAAATGAACAATGAGATTTTTCTCAGGTTTCATGAAGACAATGAAATTTTTCTTAGGTTTCATGAAGACATTTTCTGCGACTAGACTTGTCATTCTGTTACATCCAGTTTGCATTTTTCGCAAGAGATAACTTGCTTCACAGCCATCAGTGCAGAGGTAGAAGTGTGCTTTTATCCTACTTTGGTTTCGTTATTGAAACAGAAGGTGCACCGACAAGTGGAGGAGCTGTGCCCACACATTTGTTGATTTTCAAATTTCTTTCCTCATTCCTTGGAAATTTGGCTGAAACTGGGAATCCGTTTATTCCCAAAATGCACCCTTCACGAGTTAGAGGATAGGTGTAAAATAAAGGGGGGGGGGAATTCAAAAAAATGATTTCATCACTGGTAACAGTGACAAGGAGAAGGTCTGTGTTTACAGAGAGCTTAGTACTGTCAGTGCATTGATATCAGTCACTGTGATAGCAAAGCTCAATGAGACAAGTGTTCAAACTTCAAGCTTTTGCAATCAGTTGGTCGAGAAAAAGAAAAGTCTGAAAAACGTACCCCTCAGAGAACAGCATGATCTCACAGATCTGCTGCAAGTCTGGTACAACCATAGTTACTGGTCTGAAAAGAGCCTTAAGGTTGTCAGGAAGCTCCGTACGCCCTGCATAACCCGGGTTCATCGTGATGAAAATACCACTTCGTGCGTCAAGCACAATCTCCTTCCCTTCAAACTGAAACTTCCGCAGCTCGTTCTTCAGTGCTTCCTAAAGAGAGAAAATGGGCCACATATAAACCTAGCAATTATCATCGCCATTCGCGCCTCCGTTAAGTTAAACAGAACCATGCCGGATGAAATGGACGACTCCAAGTGAAATGAAATGTAAATGGACGGGCACAGCGTAGGATGTTTGCAGAAAATGGGACACATAGCAAGTTTGCTTTGTGGTGTTTTAGTCATGCCACTATGTCAAAATAAGCCAACTGATAATACAAGTTGGCCATCTTTTCTATTGCCAAGGAACCTCGGGTGACACAAAAGACACTGTGTAAGGGCTTAAGCTGCATCACTTCACAGTTAAGACACTTTTTAAGGGACCCGATCTCTACTCATGATTGTTGTAACCGTGGTAAGGCTTATCTCACCGTGGTGGTAACCCTAGTATGACTTTCCCCCCGTTCACAGTGGGGCACCATGGTAAGGGTTGATTGCTGTTGAAGATTCCATTTGGTTGCTTGACCTGCTAGACATAATGTGAAAGAGTAAATGATAAATGTGGAAGGGCAAACGAAAACAGCGGGAAAAACGAACGTTACTGCAAGTAGGCCATGGAAATTGTTCCACGAGGCAGGCCTGGCCCTCTATCGACAGCTTGTATTCATTCACTCTTTCGCGGATTTCACTTTGGGTGATGACAGAGCCATGCCACAACCCTAAACCTAAACCCTATCCCCTACCGCCTCAACCCTAAACCTTAAACCCTGGTTTCACACAGTGATGCTGGTTGCTGTTTACCATGGTAACATACAACATCCATTACCTCCCTACTTGCATGCATGCCTCCCAACCAGCAGCCTAGCATGGAATAAACCTGTGGCTAATGCGCTGAAAAGGGGACGCCGGGTCCCTGTTAGCCACCTGTGCACAGTAGAACAAGAGCTTGTAAATTCCACGACAGGAAGAAGGACGAGCTCCAACAAAGAGGAGGAAGGACACCAGACCTGCAGAAGCGGTAGCAAGGCAGACCTGAATTGTGTTAAGTTCCTGGGGATTGCCATGTTTTTCTTTTTCTTTCTTTTCTTTTGTTTTGGAAAAAACAGGCCGTTATGATCCTGGCTCCGTATCCATCTGGGGAGCCTTGGTCCGGTTCCTGTTTTCCCACGGGCATTGCCATGGTTTCTTTGAACGCAAACAGGCAGAAAACGACAAAACACAACAAAACATACAAACCTCTGGCGCTGTCTCCATTCTAACGTGGGGGAGCAATCACCAAGGTGCATACCTGTATTTGCCTGATCTGAGAGGAAACAACAGAAAGAACCTCTGCTTCAATACGATTGAATTCATCAAAACAACCCCATGCTCCACACTGGACCAGGCCAGAAAATATAGACCCCATTGCCTGCAAAAAATGAAAAACAAAAACAGAAAAGAACAGCAGAAGTCAGGAAACAGCCAAACCAACTCATCCATTGCTGTGTACTGTCATGTCCGCTATACACAACTCCACAAAACAACCAGGCCTGTGCCAGACTGTTCCGTCGGACTTTCACCGACTCATCAGGAGGTCGAACCCTGCAGTCTGGCCATGATGCATTCGACTGATGGATACATGGACGCCACATTGCCCACAATTAGTGATACACCAACTGTCCGAATCCTAGCAGACTGTTGGCCCACACCCCTGACAGCAATGGCAGTATGTCTGAGAAACTAACCTGTCACATTTTGTAGGTTGTAATTTGTCACCACATTTGCCCCTTTTCCACCCAGATGAGTAGATCCAAAAATAAGGCAGGTTTACCTCTATAGCAGACAATGAAGCACACTAAAGATGAGCCAATCCAACAATGAAACAGTTTTAGCTCTATAGCAAACAACATGAAGCACAATAAACCATTATATTGTACAGTTCGTTCTTCTCTTTCCTTACTTCGGCTTCCTTTGGTGTACTCCCTTTTTTTTCCAACAAACAGAACTTCTGGCTCCATATCGATTCTAGGGAGCATCAGTCTGGTTCCTACGCCACTGGCAAGTCAAGGGAAATACGTCATGTACCCACTCCACGCTTCTCTCCATTATGGTTGGGAGACTCGATGTCGAGCGCATCGGTCCCGCACGGGGACCCTCCCGGCCGCGTCACGCAGGATTTGGCAGGACTTGTCGCGGAGAGTGTTTGCCACTCCGGCCGAGTGCGCCAGCCGTACCTCTCGCGAGCCCCTACGACAGGACAGGGTCACGTGAGGCACCGCTTACCTCCACCTGCGGGAGCTGTCACCATCCCTTAGGTGGGCGTATCCCTGTCGAGCTACTGAACCACATGCGAAAGTTTTTCGTATGCAATTGCAGAGGTGGCCCATCCGAGGGCGTTTCTCGTTCGCTGTAGCATAGGGGTTTACGCGCGGTCGAACGCCCGAAAATCGAACCCACACGCGAATCGTCGTACTGGGGGGTTGAGGTCCCAAACGCGACCCGGCGCCGGTCGACTAGGATGCATCACACACACCATGTTACCAGCAACTACTCAACATGAACCTGTCGGCGCGAATACGCTTACAAGGGTATCCGCCCTGGATTGTTGCAAATGGCAGAAAGTAGGTTTGGTTTGAAATTTGAGTACACTGCACGAGTTGCGGTAATGTTTTGTTCACACTGACTGAATGGTTGACTGGAAGTAGAGAGTGTATGGTCGGGCAGTTTTGAGGCGCGCGTGGTGAGTTTTGTCCTTGATGCTATAGGGTCGGCGTTTCCGCCGGCAGAAATTTTTGGCTTTGTTGTTCCTTATGCTGGAGTGACCCTGGTGTATGTGCGCCCATACGGAAAACGTCACTAGGCGATAATGTTACCTTTGGGCGCTGGTTGGAGCTTGCGAAAGGGACTAGAGCGCGAGCGGTGGCCTCCGTGCGGTATTATGGGGGCCACAAGTGCGACTTGCCGAGCAAAATCCGGCCCCTAACCGCAAGTGTGTGCGTACAGGGCCGTGGGTTAGAGTGGGAGATCACGCAACAGCCTTAGTACTGCTGCTACAGGCCCAGGCTGGCTGCGGCTGCCGTTCATATACGGGGCCGCGCACAGCCAGTCCAGGCTTGGGCTTAGCCCTATAGGTTACAGTATTGGACTTTCACCAGGCGGATCCCGAGATCGAGGCTAGCAGCGAGCAGTAGAGGAGCGGAGGAGCGCAGTTTAAAGACAACTGAGGGGTTGAGGGCCCCGCGGGACTATCCCCCTTAGTTTTGTTGAGGAGTCCGACAGCGGGCCCGATAGGCAGGAGCGAGGGCCAAGTGCCAACGGTCCCCCTCCCCCTCAAACGTTTTCATAGATTTTCTAAGTTTTTATTTTTTATTATTTATTATTATTTTTTTTTTTCTCGTCTTTTTTGTCCCATATGGGATGTGGCCCGGTGCCTGTACCAGGATCAACTGTGAGTACCCAAGAACCTTGTTCAGTGGATACACCACTGAACTATCGAGATACAGACCTGTGTCCAGGACCGGATGGTGCAGGCAGCAGACCAGCAGTCCAGGATTTATGCACCTGGAGCAGTCCGTTGGGACACTCGTAAGATTGGAACGATACAGAGGAGAGTAGCACGACCCCTGCGCCAGAGTAACACGTATAAGGTCGGGGAGCAGCCGACACTCTCGCTTAGTATGATCGTGCGGTGAGTTGTCGTTGCTGCACGCCCTCCCGACCGAGCGGGTTGCTGGGCGCTGCGTTATGAGGGCAACAAGGGGAGGGCGGACTGGCCAGAGTTGTCGAAGCGGCGATGGACAGGTCACGGTGACTACCAGGCGCCCCATAGCAGCAACAAGTAGGGTGTCGGGCACTGCGCTAGCAGCAAGAAGCAAGGCGGGGAGAGGGAGACTGAACCCGGACGCAGGCCTAGCCAGGTTCGTGCCGAAGCACAGTAGCAATAGCGGGGAGGGCAGCAGCAGGCGCTGAAGTGGGCAGCAATATGGGCAGTACCGAGCAGCGCTGCATAGCAAGCAGTGACAGACGCTGAGGCTGTGCAGCGAGGCAGAGCAGCGACGAACAGCAGGGGAAAGTGGTGGACAGTTGGATGAATGTGGATGGAAAGGTGTTGTGGATGCATGCAGATAGCAAGCTGGCTATGGTCGGACTAAGCGCCGAGAGAAGAGGGCGCTGCGGTTGTGGGGCCGTTACGGCCGGATGTGCGAGCAATAGCCTCGAAGGAGAACGGGGCCGGCATGGTGGTGAGATCGGGCTGAGTGAACCTGGATGAGAAGTTGCGCCGGGTGCGCACGGAGCCAGGGAGAGGTCGGAGATGGCAGAAGGAGAGAACGAAGGGGGAAATTGGTTGGTTCTCGACCGTTTCCTATCTGTTTTGGGCGATCTAAAAGCCTAGATAGGGGTTTTCGGGGCTGGCGACCCCGAATATGAAGTCAGAATTAGTAAAGAAGGTGAAGGAATAGAGTTAGTTAGGAAAAAGGGTGCGTCGGGGCTATGGCGAAGTGAGCAGGAGAAGAAGGAAGAGCGGGCCTCTCCCTCGATCCTTGACCAAATCGAGGGAGGGAGGGGTCGTCTTGGAGGCTTTAGGGGTGGGCGACACCGTATCTGAGGTCGAAATTAGCCATAGGTTAGTAGGGTAGGAGATGGAGGAGAAGTGGAGTGCGGGTAGTGAGCGACGTGTTATGTCAGTGTATCTGCCTGCAATCGAGTACGAAGTTCGTTTTTCGTTCTTTTGCTTATTTTTGAGTGAGCACCGTAGTGCAGCGGGCGGCGGCTGAGGTTCGAGAGAGAGGGAGGGAGTAAGGAGACTCACCTCGTAACGGATGCTTTCGTCGTCGAACCGGGGACCCGTCCCTGTTAAGCGTAGCGAGTAAGTAGTAAGGACAAACTTACCGGTGGAACGATGTGCTGCCCACCGCTTGATTGAAGTAGCCACAGGCGGTAGCAGGCCATCGGCTAGCAAGAGACGAGAGGTGTTGAAGCGAATCACAGAAAGAGAGAGAGAGAGAGAGAGAGAGAGAGAGAGAGAGAGAGAGAGAGAGAGAGAGGGGGGGGGGGGGAAGGATCGTTGCTCCGTTTGTAGTCAGCATAGCAGTTCCCGCCTCCTACGGTACAGAGCCCCTCTCTCTGGTGATAGGGGCGAAGGAGACTGAATGGACCCAGTCGGGCATTCGGGCCAGGTACATTGAGGAGAGGGTGCGCAAAGAGAGCGGGAATTGGGCAGCTTTGGGAGGGAGGTAGATAGAGTACCTACCTTGTTGCTGCTTGCTCGTCCCGTTGCCGGATTCATGCGGGAGACAAGGTAGAAGACTTACATGTGGGCCGCATACACAGAGGCTCCCTGCGATATCAGTCGAGTTCTGCATAGCGACGAGCGCGGCCACATTGTACTCGTTGGCATGATACTCGTTGCTCCTCCCACTGCGGCCTTCGTCCAACTGGACTGTGTGTCTGTGTAGGCACCCTCGATTGTGCCCCGCTACTGTCCTGTTGCTTATGACCCGCTGGTCCAAGTTCTTCCGAAGACGGCTCCGCGAAGTAGTCGGGCGCAGGCAAGGTTTGGGAGGGGCAGGCCAGCACTGCAGATTCGACTGCTGACTGTGGCTGGCTGCTACACGGTACTGCACACTGCTGGATGTTGTTGCACGCTGCTGGGTGCTACTGCACGTTGCTGGATAAACTAGGTTGCATTTGTTGCGCTCCCGTGATTGACTATGCACGGTGGACTTGCTGCTGCCTCCTGTTGTTCGCTATGCTGTTGCGCACAGCTGTTGGGCACGCGTGCCGGCGGGCCGTTACGGATTGATGAGTCGTACAGTAGGCACCCGCGGTTGTGAGTGGTTGCTAGGCGCGGGGTATTGGCAGAACGGTGGTTGTATTCTTACTGGGGCATGACAGCGACACATGATTACTGCGGCTTAGGGGAATGACCCGGCTTTATGCAAGTGTTATTTCTGCAACCGGAAAAGAGTCAAAACTTGAGTGTGCTGCTACGCGTCGCTAGCAGTTTTTGACGAGGTACGGAGGGGAGGTGCACTATTGTTGGCGGCGGTGCTGTTCGAGACAGAGGTAGAGTAGACCGGGTGGCATGATCAGGCTCATGAAGGGGGTTATTGTTGTGATTTGAAACCTTGTCAGAGTACCAGCCGTCAACAGTTTGACTCAGTTTGACTAGCGGTTGCGCATGTTTGGCCATCATTGTGGGGCCCTCAGGCGCAGCAAGATAACAAGGCCCTCTCCAGCGAGTCTGAGCGCACCTCCCTTATATCTCGAGAGACTAAATTTTCTACCTATATCTTTCTTTCTCTAAGTCTAGTCTGTGGTTACGAGAGGAGGGCGGCCGGCGGGATTGCAACCCGTAGGTCCGCATCAAGACCTTGTGGGAGCTCTGCCGGAGCCCAGGCGGGGTTCTGGAGGCAAGGAACTTCAGGT